GATTAATTCTTCATTTAATTTATGCTTTAACGGGACATGTAAGTTTTATGTAATACATTAAGCTTCTCACACATGCATATCCCTTTTCTTATTGTTAAGTATGGAGTGATAGGTCAGTGTTTTACATTGACCTACCAATCACAGAAGGATTCCATGAGGAAATGCCATTTCAAATGAGCTTTCAAGGACAAGTGAGATTAGCCTTGAAGAAGCAAGAGATAGGTGGAAGAAAGAGAAGGAAGTATGCACAGAAGATCTGAGACAGCCTCAGCTGAGGCTTTACAGGTGGTCCTGGAGTGAGAATTCTGATAAGCCTGTGGAGGCAAGTAGGGGCCAGAATATGCAAAGCCTTTCAATTTTCATTTAAAAACACTACTCTGGCTGTGGGTCAGGGAACAAATTGAAAAGTGACAAAAGTGGATGCAAAGAAGACAGGGCTGGTCATTACAGAAGCCTATGCAAGAGTTGTTGACAGGGTGACAGTGGATAGGAAGAGATCTTCACAATGGCTTGGATGTGCGCTAGGATATAAGGAATGTCCAGGAGGAAACTCAGGGATTTTCCTTGGTCCATGGACCAAGGGAATGATCCTGTTTACCAGAACAGGGACCACTGGAGGAGGGCAGGGAAGACTGTGAGTTCATTTTAGGAAAAATTGTTTCAAGTGCTGTGAGTCATGTGAGAGATTTAAGAAAGCATCTGTAAGTCTGAAGGTCAAGTCTAGCTTTTGTCTAAATTGGAGCTGTAAATTTGGGAGTTAAGAATTAACAGCATTCAAGGAAGAAGACAAGAGGTAAGGAATACAGTATAAAAACAAGAGGTGTGGATTGCATTTTGAGGAACTCAAAGATCTCATGAAGATAAAAGAAATGAAGAAGAGCAGGTAGAGAGCCAAGAGGATATCCTGATGTGGTGTTAGAATCAAGGAGGGAACAAACATTGATTTAGTGATTCAGAAGTCACTTGTGGCTTTAGATCTGTTTTTCAAAGTGGCTGCTAATCTTGGAACATTTGACTTGGATCCAATTAATATTATTTACTTAGCTTTTACACTAGAGTAGCATTATCTGCCCATTGACTTATCCTAGTTTAACTATTTAGAGACACAGTTTAAATAGTGTGGTGATTCCAGTCCAAATTCATGTGAATAATAACTTTTAAGATGGGAGTTCATGAATCTGCTCTTCCTTCAATTAGTTTCAGGTCTTTTAGAGTCTCTTTTAGCACACTTTACTATGTTAAGAGAATCTAGCGTTTAAAGATATAGTAGGTATATATTAGGTATATACAACATGGTCTTTATATACTAGCTGATGTCTTCATCTGGTTTTCAAACCAATTTCAAACAGATGGGCCACCTTAGGGTCATCTGAAATTTGTTTCAAGTTTGAAGAAAACTAGGTTATGTTGCATTTGAGATCCATGGGACACTAGGATAATTTTTAACCTTTGGCTCTGAATTTAGCGTTAGTTTAAGATGACACACTGGAGAACGTGGATTTACTGGTTGAGGGAGATCAGTTTCAAGCTATACTCTTAAGAAATGTGGGATTTCTTTTTGGCTTAATTCTCTTAACTTTCTACTGTCCAGAGGCAGCCAAAGGTTCTTGTCCCCTGGCTGGTTCACAGTGGACTTAACTTTTTGCTTCCCTGACTTAACAACACTTCTAGTCCCTTCTATCTGCTGCTGCTGACATTCTAACGAAAGAAGGTTAACACAGCAGGGATTGTAAACGAAAATTCAGTAAGCTTGTCACAGGTCTAAGAAAAAGCAAAATCAGTTGTGGTCATCAGATCCTCTTTCCCCCCTGGCTGCTCTTTTGGGTTTTACACTTAAAATGTTGGAACCAGGAAAATCTCGCCCCCTGCTGCAGAGATAAAGACATGGCTTTGGAGAAAAACGATCGGTTTTGTACGGGGGGGGGGGGGTGGGGGAAAAACGATCGGTTTTGTACGGGGGGGGGGGGGGTTCGCGGGGCAAAACCCCAGTGAGCCGCGGGCCCGCGCAGGGAACGCGCTCAACTCCTCTCGGTTCCAGGCGATTCCACGGACGCTCGGCCCCAGGCACGCAGACACCACCCGGCGAAGCGGATGGGCTGCAAGAGCAGGAGGGTTTCCCCCTCCTTTTCTTGATTTCTCCTCGGTTGAGGAAGCCGAGGTGGTGTCGTCAGTCTCTGGGCGCCGAGATGGCGGGCAGGCTGCGGGCCGGCCAGGCCGCGGCGCTCCCGCAGCCCACGCCCCGCCGCCCGGCTGCGGCGGGCGGCCCGCGTTCCGCGGTCCCGAGCAAGAGGTTAACGGGGGAAAGGGCGGGACGTTTACCTGGAGCCGGTCCCCACCAGGTAGGTGTTGGTGCCCTGCAGGGTCATGGGACCCGGGTTACAGCCCAGCACGCGCACCACCCGACTGGACAGCCGTTCGATGCGCTGCAGCGCGACAGCCATCTCCGCCTCAGCCGCCGGCCGCCCGACTGTGAGGGGCCGGCGAGCGGAACCCAGCGGCGGCTCGGGTGGGCGGGGACAGCGTCCACGTACCACCACGCGAGCCCGGAGGGCGGAGCACAATAGCGGAACCAGGGCGGGGCCAGAGGCCACGTGACAACTAGGGCCCCCGCGGTGCGAACTTGGGCAGAAGGGGCGGGGCCAGAGTTCAAGCGAGGCCGCGGACAATGGGGGCAGGACCTAGCGGCCGAGCCGGGGGCGGGGCCGTGGGTCACGCGAGGCTACAGGCATTCAGGAAGGCACCTGGAAGCTGGGGCAGGGGGCGGGGCCAGGTGTCACGTGACCGCGGAGTGGGCGGTAATGCTTGGAAGTTTCCCTGGCCTGAGTTGTCCTGAAGGGAGCTGAGTGAGGAGTTGGTCTTGTCCTGATCCTGGGCGTCCTCACGGACGTTGTGCCCAGGCAACCTAGGGAATCCATCGTGTGCTGGAACAAGAGGAAGGCCGGCCTGGGGTGTCTGCATACCACCCCCTCCTCCGGGAAGAGTTGCCTTAGGGTTTTAGGCAGTGGCAGTGTGTGTGTGCGCGCACGTGTGTTTATAATAATGGTTGTAAATCATGGTGGGTAGATTTTGCTAGATCTTAACCAGCGATCTTGCAGTGCTGCATTTTAGAAGCATCCCATTTTCATCCTCAGCCTTAGGAGATATGTCCTATTTATCTCTGTTTGAGCAAAGAAATGGCGTTTGGTAGATTTGCTTCAACTGGAGATCCTGTTGTAAGGTACATCATTCCAGAAGCCACATTTTAAAATATAGAATACTGGAGTCTTTATTATACAGTTAACAGGCTGCTGGCCACCAGTTGTTACAAAGGCCTGCAGCATGCAAATACACATAACCCAGCTAGGAAACGTGCTAAAGAGGAAAGAAAGAACAAAAACAATACCAAGAAGCCAATTCAGCTCCAAGTGGAGAGCTGAACTGGGACTCCATGATGACTGGAGATGAGCCAGGACACGGGACACGATTGCTGAGACACACGTGGCATGGAGTCCACCAGCTAGGCTGGTCCGGGCCTAAATAGGTTGGCGCAGGGCACAGATCCTCAGGAAATTCCCAGTCCCAGTCACTAGATGACAGATTCAGTAACCTATCAGCCAAGTACCTGCCCCGGCCTCCATGGGTCTGAGCACGCCCAACCTGGGAGGCAGGTGATTGGGGGGCGGTTCCTTCCCCCAGCATGAAGACAAGATGCCAGACTTTACCATCCACCATGTGGCCAATATGGCGCTGGCCAGACCTGTCCTACTTACTTCAATCCCTCCTACCTTTCATCAGCGCTTGTTCTGCGTGGAGAAAAAAGATGGCCCTCCTTCTCTGTGCTACCCACCTATGCAGGGAAATAGGCTGGGTTTGTGAAGGATTTGTTTTTCTTTGTAGAGTCTTTTCTTAATTGTCCAAGTATTAACTACTCCAGAATTAATTACTTCTTCCCATTTAAAAATTTGTGCTATGAGTTACTGAAAAAATATTCAAAGCCTAGCACAATTGCACAAGCCCGCTATTATAGCTACACAGAAGGCAGAGATAGGGAAGGTTGGTTCTTGGCTAAGAGGGCAAAAGTTAGACCCTATTTCCAACAAACAGTACTGTCATGAAGCTACTAAGGATAAGAATAAAGATTTTGCATTTTGTTCAGTCACATTCCCTGTTCTTTATTATCTACTACAATGTGCAAAGTGTTATAGTAGACATATTAGGAGATGGTAAAATGAATAAGATAGTTTTCTTCTTTCCAGAGGGTCGTAACTATGGAGACATATGACCCTATTATAAGTATATGTGGGTCAATTCTAGCAGTAAAATACAACTAAAATGATGGGAAGGAATGCAAGGAAAAAGTGTGGGTTTTTAGCTTATTCTTAAAGGATTACTAAGAATTTGTCAGGTAGGCAGTGGCTATTCTAGATAATAAATAACCTTGAGGAAGAGGAAATACACTATTTATTGTGGGAATTTCTATAGTTTGGATCTGGAATGTTCCCCAGAAGCCTATATGTTCAAGGCTTATACTCATTCTATAGTGATAATGGGATGTAGTGAAACCTTCAACAGGATTTGGTGAGAAGTTTTCAGGTTATTTGAAGGGAGATTATGGGTTCCTGGTCTTCTTCTTCTCTTTGCTTCCTGATATGGGGTGAGCAGTTTTGCTTTGCTGTTTGCTGCTGTCATGAGACCTATGCCAGAGACCTAAAGCAGTGGGCCCACTACAGAATGGACTGGGAACTCTTAACACTGAGAGCCAAAATTAACCTTTTAGTTTTTGCAAGTTGCTTATCTCAAGTATTTACTACAGTGAAGCAAGCTTGGGATCTATTCAGTTATGAGAGAAACCATGGTAATTCTTTCCCCAATGAGGTAATTATAAAAAGTTCATGATGATATAGACTCTTATCACTAGATTAGAAATACGACTTGTGAGTAACAGGTGAGTTCAGTTTCATTTTAGTATTCGATCCTACTGGACTATATGCTCTTTGATTATATTTGTCTTCAATGAAGAAGAAATAAAGAATTCACAAAATGAAGATTTTCCAGAAGGGACTTTGAATAAAAGAAGACTTTTTGGATTGACAAGTAAGTCTATATTTCATACGAGTTGAATCTGATGGTGAGTTGCTAAGGTTTTATTTCATCAGATATCAGCTCTATGTCAGAGACATTATGTACAAGGGCAAAGGCTATATATATTTTGGCTGGCAGCCAGGTAGTCGTATAAGTGGGTTGACCTCTGAATGAAAATAGACTGAAACTGTCCTATGAAATCAGTAAGTACAAGGAATCTCCTAATAGCCAAATTTTGTAGGTGGCATTATTTGTCTTAATGTGGTTTTGGAATGGTGATCACCTGTAGAGATAGAAATGTTAACCTTAATACAAGTTATGAAACTGTGGCTATTGAAAGAGCTGCTATATTTAGCTTTTTATGTAGGTTCCTTCCTGGTAGAATTATGTTCTGTCTGACTGAATTAAGTATATAAACATTATTATATGAGATTAAGCTATAGAGTCTAATTGTCTACCAATAATATAAATTCTGTTTTGTGGAAATAATTCTTCCCATATTGTAAAACTTGTCACACATTGCTGTTTTATTTACTCATTTTAGGCAAAGGAAATCCTCTTTATGAGTAAAGCAATTAAGAAATGCACATACAGAAACGGCTTAGGTATTATAGTCAATAACTTTAAGTTATTTATGTTCAAAATAATTTTATGTAAAAGTTGAGTTCACATTTTAGTCAAGTTTTACTTTCTTGAACTTTTCAGATTATACAGTTTTGCTGAAAAGAGTCTAGAAAATGAGTTAAATTTTGCTTAGAAATATCTAGCATTTCAAGTTGGGTGCCGGTCGTTCATGCCTGTAATCCTAGCTATTCAGGAGGATGAGATCTGAGGATCTCGGTTCAAAGCCAGCCTGGGCAGGAAAGTCCATGCGTGAGACTCTTATCTCCACTCAAAAACTGGAAGTGGCGCTGTGGCTCAAGCAGCAGAACGCTCGCTTTTAGCTGAAGAGCTGAGGGACAGGGCCCAGGCCCAGAGTTCAAGCCCTACGACTGACAAAAAGAAAAAGAAAAAAGAAATATCTAGCATTTCTTTCTTTGAAATTCTAATCATGTTTTTTCCTCTTTGTTTTACAGAAAATCATAATATAGTTTTAGTCTTCCTCTAATCTGTAGACTTCTACACAGGTGTCATATTCAAAGTGTCATATTAGTATTTTCTGTCATTCCTTTGTAGATTATGTATTATATTGTGTGGTTTTATACTGGAAACAAGCAGATTTTATTTATTAAAACAAGAAGATTTTACTCATATAAACAATAAATACTCAGTATCTCTGTTTTCAGTTTTCTAGTCTGTAAAATGGAGCCAGTAATACCCTTTCCATAGGGACTTGTGAGTGTGGATTAAATGCAATAACGTATAACTTATCGTTAACATTCTGTAATGATACCTTTTATTACTACTTTCTATTTTTCTATATATGAATTTTTTCTCACTAACAAAGCTTAACTTGATGCCTTGTACTCTCTCTTGGCTTACTTTATTCATAGCTGGCATTTTACCACTTGAATCATGCCTCTACCCCAGCTTCTTGCTGGTTATTTTGGAGATGGAATCTCAAGGACCGTTCTGCCTGGGCCATCTTTTTTTTTTTTTTTGGTCAGTTGTAGGGCCTGAACTCTGGGACTGGGGGCTGTCCCTCAG